AGGTCATTGTAATATGCAAGAAACTCGCATGCATTGTAAGAATGAGACTTGCATTATAGAGGTAACTGTAGAAAATGTTAACGACTACAGAATGCAAAACATTGGATGTTCAAACGTAAATTTCGTTAAAAACCACGTTCCAAGTGATGTTTTTAAATGCAAAATTTCATTGCACATGTGAAAAATTTGCTTAGTATTTACACCACTGCTACATTTACTGACAACTTGAGCATTCTCTGAAGGATCACAAGTGGACAGTGGGACTCTGTGCGTCGTCGAGGGATCGAATTTGAGACGTCGCAAACCGCACGCCACCACTCCACCACTACTCTGGCGACACCAGTCAAAGGCGAACGCTTCTAAGAGGCTTCTGGTGAAGGGTCGGGGATCGCAGAAGCCCAAAACTAGTCCCAATATGTCAGGACAAAATACACAGGAAAAAGAAATCTAAAAAGAAACATTGTTCATCTAGAAATTTTGCCGAGCAAGCAGAAAAACAGCTCAAATTACTTTGAGAAATCCAAACAATCCACTATGTGCTTCATCAGCAAGAAACGTAAATGTGTGTGGGTCACACTTCATTTAAGACTAATCCTAATTAACCTGATGACCGCACAAGTAACAACTCGGTTGTAAACTGTAGTGTGTAATAATTGCATAAATTCAAAACACAATGAAAATGTGACGATGGACAATAAGAATGACTCGATCAAAATTGATGAACGGTTTTCGGAATTTGGACTGTTTGTTACAAAGCGGGATAAAATCGAAACTGAAAATTGCAAAATCATGTATGCTCATTTGAATGATTTACAAGTAAGGAATTAGAGTGATTATTACTAACAATTTTAAGTCGACTTACAAAGCATATTAAGCAATTGCTGCAAATTTTCTTCCGTATTCATATTTATGTTTTTTTTGGAACCCAGTTGTTTGTTTGATTGCAGCCCAAACTAGTAAATTCTGCGTAGTTCTTAACATCTCAGGTTTAATTTAGAATTTAGTTGTGATCGCTACGAACCGCGTTGTTAGATGTCAGGTTAATGCTACCAAATCTTGCTTCAGTTTTAGTTCTTGCGGTAGAGCAATAGAGAAAGCTAAAATTTTGTGTATAGCAGCCTTGTTATAATTTAATGTAAAGGTGGATAAATAGTCAACCAATCGCTCCTTTGTAGAACCTTTAATTTACCAATTTCTGGCACTGCTTTCATCGCCGACAACCAAATAGCCAAGCATTAAGGCACAACGAGTTAAAATTAAAGTCCCACCGGATGATAATTGGCCGAATCGTTACAGCGACTAAGTGGGAGGCCACCTGGCCATTCTCATTGGTAGCAAAGGTGAGAATTTTGATAATTGCATCAGTTTTTAAATAGCGCGACTTGTTCTCATAGTGTACGGTGAAGATAATTAACCTACACAATTACATCCAGCTCGGTAATTGCATTTTAAAAGAAGCGCTGAATGCAAGCTAAAGAGATGCGCCATTTGACGTGGCCGCACAAGACCAGGAACAGAAATTTGGCCATGAAGTCTTTGTAAATGCAGCGGGCTTAGATTTGCAATTTTTACAATTCTTGAGCATTTCTGAAATACCAAATTGTGAATTCCACCACCCGGAAGACCTTTTACGAGGTTTGAGTTGAGGCTGAAAGGCAGTTTGGCAAATTTAAGAGGTGCTACGTGAACATTATTGGCGTTGGTTTTTTGATGATACAGACTTCCACTTGTGTAATTTTGAGACACAAGACAACAATTGGTCAATTCGCTCATAGGGCACTGAGATTATGTTGAACTGCTTAATGGCCGCGTGGTTTCTCGGGGTTCTAATCTGGAAGGACATTCTTTCTTGAAATGCCTCGATTTTTCCCTCACACCGAAATTCAACGATATAGCAGCAACGCCGGCGAACAAAAGCACGTGCATTTCAAGACAGGAAAGTCAAATTTTAATTTTCTATAGATACATGGTCAAGCCTGATATCAACGCCCCAGAAATGGCATTACCATTTCGTAGTAACTGGCATTTCTATGAGTAGATGGTGAGCTTGTCTGCCATAAGGCCAAGAAATTGAAAAGCCACAGCCGAGAAGTCCAATGGCTAACCAATTTGAGCATTCCTGCATGCTGTTAGGTTGAGAATGATGGATTAAGAACATCGGGAGGGATAGACCAGCAATCTACAATACTTAGAGAGACACTTAAATATATGTTTCACGCTTGAGTTGAAATGATCCCTTTGAGCCATGTCTAAATTTAAATGTTTGCCAGGTCATTGGGCCTGTAAAATAAGTATAGGCAGGTCGCACACTTTCGAAAAGCATCAATAGAATTGAGGTATGCGGTCATATACCCCGGTGGTTTCAGTTTTTATTTTAAATTCCAGAAATTGCCACTGCTGAACTGAGTCATACGTTCCTGCAGATATCAAAAGGTCACCAAATAACACCATGGAACAAAATACAAAAATCTTGCTGACACAAGCAAAACCTCATATGTTTCACAAATGATATTGCATTTAAAGAATTTTAAGGCCCTATCCAACCATGCATGTGTCAACATTTGTCACTGCCTGTTTATTGAATCATTATTGATTTCAGGAAACGATTTGAGAATGGAAGAAACTAAGAACAGCAAAAGCTAGGTAAATGTGAAAAATTTTTATGCAAATAATCTTCCACGCAACATCGCGACCCAATTGGTTGACTGATAATTCATAGGAATACGATTTGGAATAATAATTTCAGCAAATCTTATCTCAAAAGTGATAACAGCAAGTTAAGCGGAAAAGTGAGTTAATTATAAATGTAAAAAGTTGCTTGAATGTAAAAATACCGTGTGTCTGCCGCGTATCATAATCTATGAAACATTGAAACAACTTGTGCTTGCTTCTTATCAATATAGCCCACTCACTAAAACAATTCAGATCCATTTTCGAGGGCACGAAATCTCGTTCTGAAAAGACGCTGGTTGCCTTCCACAAACGGTCCACTTCGAGGCGGAGCAACCGAAACTGGTCATGGCTCTCTGAAGGGCAGGCAGATCAAACATCTGGGTAAGTGGCTCTTCAATTCAAAATCATGATGGATCGAGATTTTGAAAAGTGATAGACAAGTTCATCTCTAGCAGGTAATATGACCTCGGTGTGGATATACGCTTACAGTGCATATATAACAGGCGCAACTGAAACCAGTAGAAACTTTCCGTTCAGGAAGTGGTTTAATGTAGTTGATGTCTACACTGAATCACGAGGTCGTCGGAAATGAGTTTGAATAAGTGTGAAGAGAAAGGTGATGGCCACAGTAAACTTAAAACCAATTATTTCAAATTACAAACGCCTTTCAATGAATTGATAAGTGATGAAAAGATTTAACGCGCTAAATTTAAGCGGCTCTCCCGTGTAGAGGAAGTCACGAATGCCATCACGAGGTGCTAAACATCCTGGAAAGTCTGGGTCGAAGTTCCATGGCTAGATGATGCATTAAGGTTGGGCAATGCGAAGTGGAAGCGGCTGGTTACGCAACAGACTAAACGATATCTAAATGAGCGTGCTAATTATTTAAGCAAATTGGCCGAAGACCAAAATGCTCACAGTTAACCTGCATTAGTATCGAGGACTTGACGATTGAGTAAAAGGTTTTGGATGAATAAGGTTTTTATGCAACAATGAAACGATAGGCGGTCACTTTAGGATGATAAGAGGAGGGGTGCGAGGATGTGAGGTGGGGAGGCGGACGAGGCAAGGACACTTGTGGCGTCCCGACCAAACGGCCTGTTACGTCCCCCTTACTGCTAATTAGACTCATCGCGTGATCTAATCAACGCAGGAGAAGTGGCATGATTTCTCCCACATATTTACATGCAATTGAGAAGACTCAATGGTTCTTGCGGTGGTGAATTAATTAGGCAAGGTGAAAAGATGGGTTGCGGTTTAAATTATGCTAAGGTGAAGGTGATTGAAACGTTGTTTGCGGTATTAAAGGATAAACTATGAACAACAAGGCGACCGTTTCAAAGAAGAGTGAATAAGGTCCACCGGTGAGTATATTCAGTACTAAAATAGCCGATCACAGAAATGGATCCGACAAATTTATTCTGTGATTTCTTTCGCTTTGGAGATTACTTTCTGCCCAGTCTGCTTACTCCACACAACTTCTACGACATCGGGATGAAAGCTGTTTACTGGTTAGGTTAGAAAATGGTACTCTAGTTTGTGTGTGTAGGGTGTCAGCATGAAGAGCCGATGGCGAACAAACTATCGAACATTGAGAAGTAGCGCCTTTCTTAATTGGTGTGTTAGCCCCGCACTTACACGTGTAAAGTCATTAGTGTTAATTTAGGAGATTTGGTTTGCCATAAATGTTCTTTTGATTTCTCCAAGTCACCGTGAAAATGATCAAGCTTGTGTGGAATACTAGTGCGTTAAACAGAGGGGTTACTCAACGGAATGCATTTTGGTCAACATCTAACGTGGCTATGCATGATTAGTAATCTTAACAAAGTGATGCCAGTCCACCATCTTGGGGTGTACTTCGTGCCCCCCTATTTCACGCGAGTTGAGAGGAGTCACCGAAATCGTGGAGCACTCCATTTCTGGCATTCTAATCTCAAAAATAACAAGTTTTGTGTACCAAATACATCTTGTTCTTGCGATTTCCAAAATTTCACTAAATTTTAAAATTTCTGTCGAACTAATTTTTGCTTAAACAACCACCTAGCCGATATTTGTGGAGGCTGTATGGAGGGACATGCTGCGATTTTTGTGTACTATCACGTTGTGATATATTGTAAACCTGACTACCATACAGTTTGTTCAAACCAGTTAGACGTTGATTTAGTTTTGCAAAGACGGACAGACTGGGAATGTGTAACTCGCTTCCTGGAAGTGACCTGGTTGGGGGATAATTTACTCATTTTTCAACCAATCACCAAATTCGTTGAAGACGTGCACCGCTATCGCGCTTCTGACAGGCAGTCCAATCTCAACACGGCTGTGGCCAATCACGGGACGCTCCTCCTCCCCACGCAGACGGGGAGGGGGACAGGGGCCATAAGAAGGCTCGCGATTTTGCCCATGTGGTAGAGTGATGCCAGGGCAGAGACCGCGTACATTTCAGTGGAAGACAAGATGAGGCATAACAGGGAAAGCAGAATTTCCTCGAAGCTAGGATTCTCCATTGACAGCATTCTGGATGCAAGTGGTGAACCCGAACCGACTACTTCCAGTAAGGAATCACTCCAGGTGCCGACCAGCGCTCTTTGCTCCTCGCTGTTTGGTGAGATTCTCGATAATTCCTCGGAGGTCTCAGGACAGCAAAGCATTGCAGCCCTTTTTTCCACTGGCTTCTCCATCTTGCCCTTTATGGCAAATAATTCGGGTAAGACATCCAGAGGAGCAATATAATTAGCTTTCTCCTGCAAAGCATTTCTACCAAAATACTTAACTCTCATAGACGGTTATAGTGGCTGATTAAAATGAGCCCCTTTCTCGAAACCTGTTATGATGTGTGAAATTCGGCAGTGTTGGGTGTGCGCTTAAACGCTCGTGAGAGGATAAGAAAGTAGTCCACAAGCTTTAAAGAAGAACACATTAAGCCTTACAGTTCGCTGATGCGACAAAAGAGCCAAAATGCGCACTCGAGATGTGTATCCTGAGTGCAGCGGCGATGTCCGTAGATGTAATTTTGTTGTGACCCGCGGTTCCTGTTTGGTTGCCGTTGAATCTCTTCCGGGATCCCATGCCATTGTTCGTGCTAATTTTGGGTTCATATGTCTAGAAATCTGTACAGCATCTCCTTAACAGAGCACTGTTCTTGATTGCAATGTCCATACTTGACCATCTAATGAGGATTTTTCTATTCTTTTTTCTTTTTTTTATTTGGTAGCGACATTTCTTATCTGTATTACAACGAGTCGGATCCTGGGCTTTGACACAGTAAAACAGCAGGCATATATTGGATGGCCAGTCCTGTAAATGCGGGTGGATAAGGCAGACATTTTTGGAAGCTTCTAAGTGCATAAATAAACACAATTTGGATCTGCCTTGCAGTATGAAGTAATTTAAAAGGCGCAGGACATTTTCGTGGTTCAATATAAGTATTCGGTATGCATGTACGGTATAGGCCTGCGGACACTCCAGGGGATAATAACATAAATAATCTTGTGTCACGTTGACCGACATTTTCAAGGCTCAGGTTTACTCGGAGAAATGGCCACTACGTTCTGTAGGAATATTATTTTGTAGTAGAAAAGCTACGACAACCACTAAATACCCGCATTTTAAATGAACATACACTAATGTCATAGGTACAGAAAGCCAGTTGCTATCGTAGTAAAAATTTCAACAGGTTTTGAGTGTGCGTACTTGGGCTGTCGCTACGTCATTCACGGGGATTTATTTGGGTCCCGTGTTTGTTTTGCGCAGTGCCACCGTTGCCACTCCTCGCACTCTCCAGTGGGTTGTCTACGGCGATGCTGAGGCGATTTCGTCGACGCAAAGCGAGAACGGTGTTCACCGATCGGCAGTTGTCGGGGCTGGAACTGCGGTTCCAGCGGCAGCGCTACCTCTCCACCCCCGAACGGATCGAACTCGCCTCCGTGCTGGGTCTCACGGAAACCCAGGTAAAGTGCTTTGCGTTGAACTGAACCACCAAAACAGGGAACGTGGATCAATCGGAAAGCGAAGGAACTACCATTAATACTGCGTGGGGGCAAAACAGCTGAGATTATTAAAAGGGGGCATTTGGCATAACCTCCCTCCGCCGGTCATTTTGGACAGATCATCATAGTGATGATATTAACAAATTTGCGACACTTTATGAGAGAGAACGTCATTGATTATTTTAACACCCAATTAAACGTAAATGCATTTTATGACTTAGATAGAAAAAGTGTTTTTTATTAGTTCCCCGGTTGAAAGCGTGAGTATTGTCTAGTTGAGCTAGGATGGGACTTGAGGGCATTTTGAGATTAACGGCAAGCAAAAATCAGTGGAATATGGGATAGTTTTGTTGACATATATGACATATTACAGCTACAATGTCAAAACATTTTCCACATGCCTTAGATTTAACTAAAAATGTGTATCCAATTTCACTAAATTTTTTTGTGCAACTTGTACAAATGAAGCCAAAATTGTCGACGTTTTAGGTCAAAACTTGGTTCCAGAATCGTCGAATGAAGCATAAAAAAGTTCATAGAAGCCGATCTTTCAACTGTCATGTCTCCCATGGAGGCCTTGGGAGCAGCCCCCAACACCCCACCGACGATCAAACCCACCTCTTCAGTTGCGATGGTGCTTCACGTGGTATCAATGATCCCCCCACACCTGACTCCCACCCTTCTATCGGTCAAAGAGCAGCTGGTTCGGTCCCCTACAACAACGCTCAAGCATCTACGTTCCTCATGCTTCCTGATGCACTGTAAACCCTTTTGTGGATTGTTCGAATGTGTATAGTGAAACATCTTTTGCTTACTTGTCAGAGGATCTGTCAGAGCCTTTCTAAAGGTGCCAGAAAAAGCCTAAGTATTTATAAAGAATGTCGTAACTCTGACAAGGAACGCTCTTTTCTTCAGGCACAAAAATGTGTGAAGCATTTAGTCCCGAGACAAATCAATATATGTGTAAAAAGTTGCTCTCATTTAGAGCGAAGGAATAGATAAACCCACTCAGGGCACGCGCCTTATTTGAATGAAATTAATTGCCAGTAAGTCCTTTCTACCAGTTCACACTAAAGTCCCACAAGGTCATCTTGGTGGTCATTATGCTACAACTCAGTTTGCCAAATCCGCATACCTTAGCAGTGTCTGCTCTTGACCCGACATCAGGGGCTACGTGCATGGCCGAAAAGGCATAGCAGTCCCCAAGACAACAGCAAAGCTGAATAGGGTTGTGTGGTTTCCGTACTCATGAGACCAGCCTTGTTTCGGTTCATTGGTGTCAGAGTCTTTAACAGTTTGCTTACCCTCTAAATATGCTACTGACAGCCGCAGATGTGCAAGATGGGGTGGAATTTATGAATAAGTGAAAAAAAAACATAATTTTTCAGCTTACTTCGTACTACCTAACTAAACTACCAACTCCCTAATGGATTAAACATTAAACTTGTATTATTTAAACAAATAAAGCTAAACCCGTTAAATATTTGCTAATTAAAAATGACTTATAGTTCACAAATCAATTGTACATGAATTGTAACGTTCAGATCCTTGTTAATGTGTTATAATGGCGGTTAACCCCATACATTAATAAGCGCTCATATCCCTTTACAATTCAATAACTTGTTAGCCTTTTTTGTGTGAGATATCTGGATCGTGTGTAGATTCCGGATAGGGCACAGACGTGTTAAAGAGGTAATGGAAATAAGAAAAAAAAAGACCACATAACACTGATGGATCCTGCACAAATGAAGGTGTTTTTGAACAATATACGACCAATCAAATGAGCTTGTTGGATGACTTTGGTTGAATATGATTTTCGTTTAAAGGGTTTGGTTTTAATTTCCAATACATGGCATCATCCACGAAGAAAATGTTTCCCTGAAATGCGAGACTACTTGGAAAGATTTTGATAGCATTTATTTTAAGATAAATTAAAACCTTTTTTAGGAAAGCTTTCGGAAACTAGGACAGATTTCTACGCCAGATGGTACGAAGCAGATTGCGGTGGTATTTCGATAAGCTAAATAAAGGGAGGCTATAATGTTGACCGGAGTTTCGTTCTCCCAAATCTCGCATAGTCTTCAAAATTAAGAGATGAAGATGCCTGAAATTGGTCCTCATTATCACTCCTACTTATAAAAGTAGTGTGTAGAAATGCCACCGGAGGGAAACCTTATTACACCGGCTTCATTTAACGGCGCCATTCAGGTCGTGGAAATAGTCTAGTCTTAAGTACGGGTGCTTGCTACTTTTGCAAATAAAGTAATCGGCATAAGCACTGTTCGCTAAGCCCACACGTACACAAGTATTATTTGTGGGAAAACTGACTGTTTTTCGTCCAACACAAAACTCATATAAAAGCTTAAAATTGGATAAATTCAGTGTGAATCATCTCTGATGTTTTCGCTCAAAACACTTGTTGCTAAGGCCTGAGTTTGAAGCACCTGAACATGCTCTTATCGGCAGAGTTTTTAGATTTTTTCTCGAAATAACAAATTGTGATCATGGAAGTTTGTGGCTATAACAAATGCCTCCTGACCAGAGTTTTGCAATTCCTTAATTCCAAATGACTGTTTGTACTTAGATCTATTCCCATTATTTAGTCATCGGGTGACTACTCCTTTGAATTTATGATAGTAGAAACCTGGAATTATTTGAGCCGACTTTTATTTCGGTGTTATTAGCTAATTTAAAATTCACGTGTGACCTTGCATACCGGATTTTAGTTTCCTTCTGTAGACAAAAGGGTGTACATTGGCGGTTTTTAGAATAATCCCGAAAACAATTTGGATAGAAATGTTCGTGTAAGCTTTACTCAGAAGCATGGTGCACTAAGGACTTGGAAGGTAATGATCTTTCTTTCTGTTAAGGTAGATGTGGTAAAATCTAAAAGATTTGAGGTAGCAAAGAGGTATCTGTGTACAAACTCCCTAGGTGAAGTCGTGTATTGTTACTGTTGTGTAGTTAACAAGCAATGCCTTACACAAGAGGCTGACGCAGCCTCGTACATGGGATTGCGGGTATCCCCAAGTTGAAATGTTAATTCGAATACACTCCTATCAAAACTCAGTTTTAGCCCCTACAGACAGTTTGACTCTGAGTCTTTTACAAGGCCAAATCACAAAGTAGGCTCTGTGATATTCTCAGATATTTGAAACGACTCACAGAGAGCGTCACCTAACGCCACTCAAGAGTTCCTTAAACTGAATGGAGGTAACATTTTAATAAGTACATTTGTATGGGGATTTTTCCGAGCGGCATGTGATTTAGAAGTGCCTTTAGTGTAAGCAAGGCAATTGAGCCACACATAACTGGTTGGAATTGGTCAAATTCAAGGTGACTTAGTCTGGCAAGTTATGCCACGAATCGCATTAACAAGATCAGGCTTTAAGACTAGTCAGGTCTAAGACCACGTTTACCACTAAATTATACTTCCGATTCTCTTTGGCGCAGAGAAGTGAATTCATGCATTCGTAGGCCTTAGGAAGACAGAGCCTAAAACTGGAATCAAGTTTCCGCAAATTGGAGTTAGGAGGCAGGTCACTTGGTTTGTACAGCGGCTTTAGATGACGGTTATCACTGTGAGGCAGACCAAAACTATGGACCCGCAAACTCTGTTGTCGAATCTATTTTAACTTGTCAATCAAATCGCTTTTAAACAACAGGGTCAGGTAATTGTTGCGGAACAAATGTAAACCGAAGCCTCAGGACATTTTGAAACCTGTGTGGTCGAAAACACAGTTAAGGCTGAGTAAAGGGTGTGAAGGAGACGAAAAAGGCTGCTAGAAGCGCCTGATTATGCACGCAATTTCGCACTCGTAGACATTTTTGAAGCGATTGGCGTTGCCCCCGAAGCCGCCGTAAATGAAGGGCAGGCACGCGCTCTGCTCTTGATCGTAGTAGTAGGAGGGAATGCGGGCTGGACCGTAGCCCGAGGCAAACGGCAACTCGCACGCATCTAAAGGGAAGCCGAAAGAGACCATTAGTGTCGTGCGTCGGTAGACAGGATTCGTCTGACATTGGGAGCACAAAAGTCTGTCACTGTTTATGTCTTTTCTTGATTGATTTGCGATCCAAGATACGGGGTTGAGTTCAAGTTGCTGCTTTTGACATAGTTGCGGATTGTACAACTCGAACAGGCTCAAACAGAAAACGTGCATCAATCACATAGTATTGACCTAGTCTAGAATAACATTTTAAAAATAAGTAACTTCAGTGAAATGCACTTAACTTGGCTGAAGGTTGACAGCAAACTCAATCATCGGATCGTGAAAATCAAAATGGTTTTTGAGAGGATAAGGTTGACAGCTACTAAGGGCCAAAGCAGAATAGGTTTCTGGATGGAATATAAACTACTGATTTCAAAGCGCCACTGGGAGGGGTGTGATAGATGTTTTAACTCCGTTTGGTTTTCATAAGTTAATCTTTATTGAAGATTGAATTGTTTAATCACGGCACCAAGGACAAAACATTAAAACCTGTTACTTTTGAAACAAGTTTGCCTTTTGTGACACTCTAAACTCAAGAGCAAAGAGCAGTTTGCGTTTGAAATGCATGCAAAATGACGATTATTTTATTTGTAGTGCTTCTAATAACAATTATATCAGATATTGTTTGTCATAGAGAGGTGGTACTGTATAATTACTGAGGCTATTTTTATTCAAGCTCTGTGGTCATTTTTAAGTCCGGAACTATATTAAACAGCGATAAAATGGTGAAAGGAATAGACTGAAGTAAATAGTAGCCGAAACATTAGTGTATATTTTGCCCCTGTATAAAAAGCTATGAACGGGGATTATGGGTTACAGGTGCTTTTATGGAGACATTTTATCAAACCATTACAAAAAACAGAAACATTCATATCTACTTACTGTTAGCAAGTACGCCTTCTGTATTTGAAACAGGATTGCCAACTTTACGAAACAAAATGAAATGCAATAATTAAACTTACCGTTTTCGAAGTTATGGGACGTTACATCGGAGTTATCACCTAAAAACATTTCAATTGTTGTTTTAGTAGTTTTTAGACCCTGGTTATTGTAAATTTCTTCGCGCAGTTTTGCCACTTTCCATATTATGTCATTTTCCCTCTTTCCTTACGTATTTGCACAGTTATACGTGCACAACCGGGTGATTTCAATTAAAATCTCAATAAGATGGTTAGTCGCAAAAACTAATACAGCCAAAATGTAGGCTGAAGACTAAAGCCTTAATGGTGTGGTTGCAGAAGGCACTCAGATTGTGCAATCAGCATTGTTACCTCTATGAACTACGCTTGGTGGTGCTTAAATGGCTAATATGTAGAATAAATTAATTTAATGTAACACATTTAGTTAATAAAAAGGCAGCTTTTGATAATAAATAACTGAACTGAGTCTTACTTCCATGAACAGGGAGGTAGATGAAAGTTCCATAACGTTCGCCCGCTTCCACTTTAAGTAAAAAATACCGAAGTAAGGGTCAAAGTAAGCAGTGATGACATTTCAGTTAAATTGACTGAAGTGTAAATTTCATGGCCTTACGCCGCCACTAAAGTAGACATAGGAATGGTTGCACCACATCTTAATGATTTCCCCGGAATATTTAGGTAACAGTGATTCTGTTAAAAAAAACTATTTTGTAATTTGTGAAAGTAACGACTGATGGATTCTTGTCTAGCAGGCATTTTTTATCCATTGAAAAAGGTTTCTGACAGAAGGAAGAAAGCAGAATTCAGTTAGTGACAAAATTACACTAGTGAAGGGAGTTGAAACTGCGGAATTAATACGTATTATTACATTGTTGAAGTGACAATAAGCCATACTCTTGATAACGAATAAATCAGTAGTATAGGTCAATTACCAGAAGAGAAACGGGCCTGAAAAAGGATGAGAGTGACGAAAAAAGCAACTGAGAACATTTTCCCCCTGAATTATAAAGGGAGTTTAACAAATGAGGTATTTATATACCATGGATGGAACAGTCCCTTGGGGTGTTTCTTTAAACAGCTTAGTGCCTCAAGGGCATAGTGACTAGAGGTCAATTTTTCGCTGAGGCTTCGAAGATTAAACAGTTAAAAGCACACTTAAGACGGAGTAGGGAAGGACACGAAAGTCAAATATCAAATCCAATGCACAGTCACAAGGAAAATCATTCCGGGAGCTGCTAATACCTGTAGACACTTCAATATCGAGTTATTTAAGTATTTTTTGTAAGAAAGGACAGGTATAACAACCAATCATCGAGGAAGGTCTAAGCGAAGATACTTTAAATTATCATCTTTTACCAAGCTCTTTTAATTATTCAGATTAACATTACTGAGTAATGGGGCTAAATGAGACTTGAAATATTTCAGCATAATCCACCACTGATACTTCATGTGTGTGAGGTACCTAGGCAGTCTGCACTTTCATTTCTGCCAAAGTTACAGTCAGCGAAATCCCATGGTATGAGCAGTGGGATAATTCTGCAGGATAGTGGTGATGACGACCACCCCTTCCAAATGGGATAGTTCTCAAATGCCCTTACTGGACATAAGAACTCATCTCATGTAGCGAGGGTCGTTCGGAGAATGAATGTTAAGTGGTCCTATTTAAACTGACGTCTAAACAACTGCGATCTCACTCCAACAGTGAACCCGTGGAGGCCACCGTTGTCTGCGGACTTTTCTCTAACTTTCCCAATCGAACTGTCTACGTAGGGCGCCGGCTACAGTGCAGTTTGAGGACCACACCGGGGCTTCTGCAATGGCGCGACAGTCCAACTGCCACAGTGACTTGGCGAATAACCTGTAGCGAGCAGCAAGCGTGAGCGAACATGGTTCGATTGGTTTACGTTGTCGCGACGCCACGTACCACTAACTACCCAACGAGGGTGAAGTCGGAAGGACAGAGAGTCAACCGTTTATTCGAGAACTTGACGGAGCCGTGGTAGTGTGTGGGGTTTGTGCGTGTGTATTTCTACCCCGGATGTATGAGTCATACATGCGTTAACATCAAGACCTAGGTGTGAGGATAATCTAAATATCCTTGTTAATGAGGGGGGAGTTGAGGATCCCCGCGGCTGGCGACATGCTGCGAAAAGGGGAACTCGGTGTTGGAGGTGGAGCGACCGGATTAAGGGCTGTGAATAAAACACGTGATTGCCCTGTAGTGGGCCCCGGTGCGGTTTTAGAAACCACACCAGAGCCGACAATCTACATTGACAGGGCTCGACCGAAAGAGCAGAAAATGCTGATGGCGCGTAGCTCAACTAAGTTATTGATGCAGCGGTGTGTGTGTACAAGATAACAAGTACGTTTATATAGCCTTGCTAAACATCGATCCCAGAACGAACGTAGTTAGGTGAAGTTCATTCACGTAAATCAATTGAATCATGTTCGTTCGCGTGCTGCTCACCACAGCCATTTACGTAGCTGTTTTCGTTCAGGGATCGATGTTTAGCCGATCAGATATAAACTGATTTTTTACCTTGTATGCACACACACACACACACCACTACTGCATCAATAAACAAGTTTAGCTACACGCCATTTGCTTTTCTACTCTTCTCTCAGTCGGCCGTGTCAGTGTAGCTCGTTGGCCCCGGAGTGGTTCAAGGCAACATGCCCAAGCCCGCAACACGCAGGTGCTGTGAATTCTTCCTCAGATGACTAAATTGAGAAGGAGAGTTGCTGATGTGGTAGTGACACAATAGTACACGATCAAGCAGAAAATCTACGTTTGCATCTATCCCCTCGAGTAAACTCATTGGTTTCAGTTAGTTATGGAAAATGTTAAGATAAGAATTGGTTGAATAGTTTGTTTGCGCCAGAAATGCTAGTGAGTGTTCAATCAAGGTTATCAATCTCAACTCTTCGCTTTGGTGACCAGTTTAAGATTTTTGTATGGAGTCGTTGTTCAATGTTCCAAAAAAAGGTTAAAACATAGTGTTCAGCTACTTGCTTATAGGGGCACAAAGTAGCTGTATGCAACCGAACAAAAATTGGATGCGCAACTTTACAACAAAACTTTATTAATATCCACTAGCATTGACTCCTCCGTCTAATGACGTCCCATGACCGTGTAGGTTTATTAGTTGCGGTACAAGCTAAGAGTGCAACGACGGTTAACATTAATTACGAGTGGTTGCCCGTTGTCTCAACAACGTTATTTTATGGGAAAAACTCGCAGAGGTCCAGTAGCATAAAATCACAGTTGTATCCCTTAAAATCAAATTAAAAATAAGGAGTTGATGGAGTGCACAGTGCTATACGTGGCCACAATCAATTTAAAACAACTTTTAACGTCTGTGCAGTTGGTGGACCGCGAGAAGCCCGAGGTCTCAAAACACTGAATGTTCGGCCAATAGTGCAGTCTGCAGATTTCTCAAGCATAGTTCTTACATCTAAAAAACGGCACTGATTCGTGCATTTTCGCTTCCCCCACAGTCTGCGTAAACGGTGGGGACAAACTGTCTAACAGAATTTAGCCCAATTGGACTATGGAAGAGGTTTGTTTCACCACAGCTTAACGTCGACATTCGGTGGACGTGTCGTATCGCAACGAAGTCGATGAAATGCACGACTGCAAAGACATTTCGTTTAAAAAAAAATAAAAGAAAACAAGCCCACATTTTTTCAGCTTCTCATTGTCTGCGGTTGATGAGCAAATATTCTTTAAACCAATGTGCTTATAAATTACCGAAATTACAGATGTGTCGATTTACAGCAATACTTCAGGGAGAGCCATGTTGCTGCTTGGTGCTTTGCGAGGATGCAAGGTGCCGAAAAGTCCCTCGTGGACCTAGATGAACAGTAATTTTTGGAAACCAAAACAATACTGCAAAAATATTCCAACTTGATTGAAAGATAATGCCTAGCTTGCTTACATACAGTAAAATAGAACACAATCTCATTTGATTTAAAAGGAATCATACGAAATCTCATGAAGGCATTGCGCTACCAAACCTGTGATCTTCCTTCCTGGATTAAATATTAACTCGCGACCTATCCCGTTTTAATTTGAAAAATATCCTGTTTAATACATTAGCCAGAACTTCATTTAATAATCGAAGTCAGCTTAATCTGCTCTTTTGCGAGCATAATGTTCCTTCAATTATGATGATTAAGAAAGACACATCACTTTTTGCAGTAGTGCTTGAGGCTTGCTGATTTTAGAACATCTGATCAAGGGTCCCACTAATTGGTAAAGTGGTGCTCTGTTATTCCTCAATTACGTGGCGCGTTTTTTAGCATTGCTCGATTTTTGAATCTAAGCCTTATTAAAGATGCATTTGAATAACGACCTCTGGCTAATTCAATCAGTTTTGCATAAATAAGCGATTTACGTGACCACACCAGGGGTCATCGCTATCCCCTCAGGGCCTGACCTGAGGAGGGATCAACGCGGATGAGCAGAATAAAAAGGAGCCGGACTTGAGGGTTTCACGCGCTGCCTTGGCAATGACTCGTTTTGTCTTGGTGATCATCCTGGGACTAACGTCCGGTCAGGTTTTTGCGGGTAAGCTTTTAGTCGAATATGTGAATATTCTAAGTAATTTGACTTTATAGCATCAATCACAGCCGATTTTATGGTCTCCTAGCTTGTCATTGTATGTGTTCACACAAAAAGAGGTTGACCATTTAACGACTAAAGGTGTCAAAGCTTCATGCCTAAGGGCGTTCTTGAGTCTAAGCAGAAGTTAGCTTTCATTGCCATTCGGTACCTAAATATCACAGCAAACGGACTCGTCGAAGACGTCATAATTCTATAAATTGTTCTCTTTTAGGCCGCCTTCAGAGGGGTTGGGGATTTCGGCCAGGTGAGCCTTCCCTGCATTCAGTAATGTTTTGCAAAAATAACACGACTTATCCATTTTGAGGAAGCCATGCGTAATAAGATCATTTTAAAGAGAAACTAGCCTGTTACAGCTCTACTATATAAATATGAAAAAGCATTTTGATTCCCGTATTAGGCTTTTTGGGAAATCTTGTAGCCGGTCGACAGTAATTATGCGGTTTTTATGCACAGTGGTCAGGATTTCCGTCGTTGGGGTTTTTATTGTTCGCATAAGAGGGGCCTTTGGAGCCTTTGAGTAAAAAAATACATCTTCATTTCCATTTAGGGCCGCATCCTAATGTAAACGAAATCGCTTCGATTCCGAAGCTGAACTCATTTGGTGTACCAGCAAATGACCTCGTGGATACATCGTCCACTTGCGTTATTTGTCAAAACAAAACATCTGTCATTTTTTTAAATCAGCAGAGCATGTAATAATGCGTTTCTTGGGTTACGACCAAAGTTCCTACTAGTCTGGACTAGATATCCCCTTTCAAGTATAATCAATAAAACACGCAAGCACATTGACATAACACAAATCCAAATGGAATCCGCTACAAAAATGCAGATTTTGACGGCTTTTCCTTTTGTCAAAAAGACCACATCAATTCATTGCTTTTGCAGTTTATGACATGGGGCACGACGCTGCTATCATTATCGGCAATGGCGAAGGTAAGTTAGCCAACATGTTTAGCGGGCATTTTTACATGAGGTGGAATGACATGAGGGAATTCATGATGTCCTACACCACGGTGACGTATTTCGGCGAAGCTCGACTCAAATGCAAAGTGATGCTTAGTTGACACATTTACAAACTGATACAATTAGTGGGAAAACATAACTTTTCAAATTCAAAAACTACAAAGACAAGTTTTGGGACATAAAAACAGAATGCGTTCTTTTAACTAGGAACTAGGTTCGTAGGAAGATTACTGATTGTATTTTATTAAAATAAATTAAGCCATCAGATCAAGAGGCAGTATTTTCAGTAAAACTATTGAAAAAAAGTTAGCAGAGTAAAGAATAAACCCCCTGCGATAAACAGTGCCAAAGTTTGACGGTCTTTCACAAACCACTGGAAGTAAGATACAGTCTCAAGTGAATTTGACACTTTCAGAAATATTTTCTACAAATAATAGCTTAAAAGCAATCGAATGCACAGCCACGTCTGTTTTATTCATTCATATTTCTCAGCTTTTATCTTAAGCTTAATTTGTCAATTTGATTTTTAGCTCGCGTGGATATTGCAACTCTTCCATACCACTTCTGTTAGTTCCGATCTCATTACTATCTCATTGTTACACAAAAAGAATTTCTATTCCTGCATTTTTTTATGCATATAGCCACCTAATTCCATAACTCTTCTTTGCATGCTAATTCGATATTGACTGTTTTGACCTTTTAGTTACACCCATCTTCGTAAATTAAAGTTTGTTCAAAGTTTTACTTGAGTTCAGAAGATTTTACTTTTAGTGTAATTCACAAGGACGAATCAGTCAGTAAGAAGACAAACGTAGATGGCCTTAGGATTCAACAGTTGAGCAGAGAAATCAGCATAATTTTGATTAGTCAATGAACATGGCTGATTTTTGTTGGCTACCACCTTGGCACCAACTCTGAAATCCCCAGTAATTTGTACTTATGCTAATAGCGAAAATTTACAACTGAGCCCTGCACCCATTTGCACATTCAAGACGTCTTGTGATCTTTGAACGATGCGACAGCAGCGAACGGACAAGAGTGCATTTAATTTTTCACAAACGCAGTTGATTTGCATGCTACATTACTGTGTGTTTTCTCATCTTCGCAAGTACAAGCAACACGGAAACTATGTCAAATTATACAGAAGCTTTTACTCAATTGTAAGCAGTAGTTAGATGTGTTTGTCACCAAATCTGTTCTAATCTTTAGATCGAACGGACCGAGACATTCCGAAAAACGAGGATGACTTAATTGATTTAATGAAGGACGGTAAGTGCTTGGACGAGAAGTACGTTACGTTATTCACTTATTAACACTTAGCACCTGTATGTGCTCCCTCGTCGAAAAGTCTCTTTAGGTTTTTGCAGTTTTCTGATATTGCCTAAACTTAATGTAAAACAAAATTCATGCCAGAAAAAAATCTGGGGCAAATAAAGCATCGAAATAACTATTGGCTCGCTTTGTTGACCTGTCTTTGAAGGATACTTGGTTACATGTTTAATTTCAATGGGATGGCTTTATTCACTTTTATATAATTTTCACCCCCGATTCCATAAATAAAATTTGATTTTCAGTCTTTGGGTTGAACGTGTAAATGAAAGATGTATTTGGTTTCAACGCACTTCAAAAAGGAAAAAAAGAACAAAAATACTCGACATTAGGACATGCTAAGGAGATCAGAGTACCTATAGATTGCCGTAAAAGAATAAATCATAGCGATTATAAATCCGGTTATTCCTTAGTTTTGCTTTAAAGCCTGCACGCTGAGCAATATTTTGGAGGGAGCATCCCAACGATTAATTCGGTCACCACATCATGCTCCTAAAAAATCATCGTGTCCTGACGTGCCTGCTTTTTGCTCTAATGTGCTAGAATGAGGTAACGATGACATATTTTTTTCTGTTTCTTAAGCCAAAAAGTCCCAAGGGAATTCGGTGGTATTTTTTAAAACTATTTTAACGGTGGATCGACTACCTGCACTGTGCTAGAAGAGATTTTGATAGTAACGACTTTTCATTTACGTCTTACTCCTTTCAAACTCCAATACGAGTTGTGTTCACGTTATCTTGACCACCCAACCACAACATAAATGGGGTTCACCCATGAGTGCAGAACTGGTGCCGTGTGTGCGCGCTAAATGATGGTAGTGAACGCGTGTTTATGCAATCATTAGAAAAATGGCTTAAACAAACATACAACTTGGGTCTGTAGGGCCACACATGGCAGCGCACTGATTGACAACCAAATTGTTTATCCTGCACGACATTACTGCTGACATAATGAGCGTTTGGAAATATTATGTATAACCAGTAGTAAATTGAAAAAATGCATAACTAAGATGATTGATACCAATTTTGATAAAAGGAAGAGTCTTTAAATGAACTCAGATGACTAGCGCGTCAATCAGGTTTTCATGTTTTTCTTTTAGCATACAGGCTAACAAAAACTGAGTTACTTTAATACAACTTTTGCTGTTATTTAAGGTGGCACCGTATTTACTGTGGAGAATATTGGTAAGTTGTAACATCAAGAACTATGCATGTTTTGCGTTTTGGACAAATTGATAATAAACTATGCGTTACTAACTACCTTTTTCAATGGAAACATTGTTTATAAAACAGTATTACACAAACCCTTTGGAAGCTCGTAAGAGTAGCATGTTGAAATTTTAGAGAGCGACTATGAAACTCTTCGGAATGGCGGCAAACTCAAGCCACTAGGTGAGTGTTATCAGGTTGGGGAACTAATTTTCAAATATCTCATTACCTGTGGTTCTCCAAAATTTACGACCGAAAAAAAGAAATTTTTTAACATAGATTACTTGGAAGAAGATCGCCTTTATTTCCAGATGCTCACAATTATTTAGCTCATTTAGCACTGTTGGCATTTGGTAACACAATTTTATTTAGCTAAAGAGAAAAAACTTGCTCATTCCTTTTCGCCATTGGTCGTTCTTTTCAACTGCCTTTCCCAAGTTATTAGGTGCAAACTTTGGCTTTCAGAAAGTCACAAGAGCAACTTGGGTGAAATTTACGCCAAGGAATTAGGAATCCCTGTGTGCCGAACCGACACAACATTAAGGAATCGATTACAAACACTGGTTGGGATAAATAATAGGATAAATCACATTTTTCTTCAAAATATTTCAAAAAATCCCTGATTCCGTGTTTTATGGGTTTGCCATTTGCAGTAGTGACGCAAAACAGTAAGAAAATTTGAAAAAAAATGAAAACTGTATCGACTATCTGAAATGAACTTAGCTAGTATTTTTACTAGTCTAGCTAATTTTTTGTATATGCAATAAAATCGTTTCTAAGATAACAATTTAAGAACTTTTTCTACCCTTGACTCCTCGTCTTAACGGACCACCAAGCTGCAACGTTAGAGTGGGCACAAATGATTTGATCATCTAAACACCAGTGTGAAAATGTCATACCAATAACTAACAAAACACGCACTATAGTGATGTAATTCTGGAAATGCCCTCGCAACTGAAGCCTGATGGCTTACAATTCACCCTGATATTTAGAATGTCATGATTATTTTGAGTCTACTAGACGTCACAATTGTGGCATTTCTAGAATAGTTGGACCTGGGTTGACGAATCACATTCAACTTTATTGCCTGATACAAAGTATGACAATCGTTGTCACTACTGGAAGACTACCTGTACTTTTACACACTAATTTATAAGAAAATTGGTCCAAATCTGTCATTATATACTGCTTACGCATCTGTCTCAATAGTTTTTTGATGTTGTCACCAAAAAAGTTGAAAATAATTTTGCTAATTTTAATTTAGATCACGTAATTCATAAGAAGGAAGGTAAGTAAAACCATTTCATTCTGTTATCTATATGGGCATGAATTCCATTGTCATTTGTACAAAAAATGATCAACTATCGAGAAAATCAGCTCATTAGCTTCAGGTAGAACATAATAACTTTTTAAGTATTTTTTTGGGGGATGGAAACAATTCGTGAGTTATTAGAACTGTGCATCTCCAATGATTGACGTAACTGTAGCTGTTGAATATGAGAAAAAGCCGAAAATGAGATTCGCCCGAATGGTTCAGAAGCTTGAGGCTGGAAAACGTTAAAATATATTTGGCATCACGATATTCACTTACTAATAGTGATGCTACGGACATTACAAGAGAGAAACGCAATGAGCAAATATCTTGCTAGTAAGGACTTACTTCTGCCCTGAACACTAGTAATTTGTTAATTTAAGCGTTTTCAAAATCCAATACCTGTGGTCCATTGGGTAACTTGTGGCCTGACGAGTACCAATCGAAGCTCAGATGAAAATGGGAAGGCGACACGATGATTCTCGCTAAGAGGGTTCGTATTGAGGTGTGTGCAAAAATAAAGAGCGTTTGTGGTCAACCGGATGGTGGGTAATGCCTCTACGACAAAGGGACTAAATGTTTTCCAATTTAGATAGACTTATTCAAGCAAACTTAAATTGAAGCCATAGTTTATACACCCGTTTCGCTTTTTTTTATAGTAGACGAAAATGACGAGGAAATCGGTAAGTTTTCTCAAAGAAAAATTGCTCAAATCTTATGGTTGCACACAAGGGTTTTAATGCCGTGCAAAACGATTTAAGGTATGTCGAGGAGCATGTCGCAGGACAATCGCTTCCTCGCAGCACAAGAATGTTGTGTCTTACACCCAAAGCATTAAAGCCTATCTCGGAAATTTTCAAGTTAATGAAGTTGTGTTGGTGACTCTAAAGAACTTGAACACCTACGGTTAAAAAACCACAAATTACTTGAATTAAGAATTATTTTAAGCCCAAAAATTCTTATTTTAAGATTAAAATGCGGTTCGTTGCTTCCCTTAGAGTTCTTGTTAAGTCAAGACATAAATATTGCGTATTTTGCTTGACACAAACGATAGCTAATTGCACAGGCAGTATTTAAATGCAAACTCGGTATATACACGACATCCAACTCATAAACCCCGTGGAACTAAACCTTCGTTCGTCGAGGTTATTTCTCTAGTCAAATAATTCGAAAATGGCAAACCATTTCCCTCGTGACGTGTTTGCCTACCGTCACCGATGGTAAAAAGGAGACCTGTCAGACCTTGGCCAAGTGTTTCTTGAATAAGTCATTTTAATGTTAGCAACGTTCCGACTTGAAGGCACTGTTTGAGCGAATGCACTAACGGGTAAATAACGGCTCTGTCCTTTACAGAGCATCCTCGAAAAAGGCGATTTTTACTTGGACTCGGCAGCTTTTATAGGCGTAACAAACCGAATGCCACCAATGGCTTTGCCTATTCTTCAGGTACGTGTAATTAGCAAGAAAAATTTTTTGGGCTTCCATTTTTTTATGCAGCACCGACTCAGGATTACAAATAGGTGTGTGAAAGTTCTTCTTTGGCTAATATAAGTCTGAGTGTTTTTTATGCAACATAAATAATGGTTTATTTACCTTTTAGACCAGCCTAACGTGGAAAAGAAACGTAGGTTACTTTAGTCATTGTCTTTTTAACTTAAAAAATAAGAGAATAATTTTTCGGCCACAGAATCTGGTTTATATTCTTGAATAAGTAAGTTGTGGCTGGCCTTAGTCCAAATATCTTAACTTCTTAATATACGCTAAAAATAATGGTTGCAATGTTGACTTGAAATATATAGAAAGTTTAAATTGACCTCTATTATGTCATCACCTATTATTATCATTATTGTTTAGGTGAAAGACTACCTCAAGTTTGCACTCTTGGTCACCACCCTGGATTCGGAACTGCAAGTCTTAAGCGTTTCTACTATAGCGAAAAAGACAAAAACTGCCTTCCTTTTGAGTATCATGGAACTGGTGGCAACCAGAACCGTTTTATGACCTATGAGGAATGCATGAATATTTGTCACATGGATCTGCCATAAAATGGATCCGAATCGTACAATATCTATGGTAATTAGCTATTCCTGGTTTCGGTGTCTGTGTTTTCTTCAGTCAATTATGAATAATAAACTGCAGTGACAAATTTGACTAAGGTTGATGGGATTTGTTTAATGAAGTATCACTTCTAAACTGCAGGAGTCAAGATATGAAATTTTCAGCTTGCTTTCCTGTTCAGTTGATGCACAAAATATTACACCATCCGTCAGCTTGTAATCATGCAATATTTACCAAAACGTCGCTAAATTCGCTACTGTACGTTTTACTTATTTCATATTTGTGGATTTATTTATTAAAATAGGTATAACTGAGAAAAATTTGAAATTTTTTTAGCTCCGTTCTATATAATTTCAACAATGTTATCAAAATTAAAGCAAAGTTGTTTCTCTTCATAATTTAGAACCACCGATTTTAGACTCTCTGAACAAACACTTTATTGGAATAATACTGAGTAAATATTAAATAACGCTTTAGTTGAAGCAACTTGCCACTTTTGGCACTGCAAGAAATTTTACTTATGCAAGGATAAATGGAAAAACTCCCTATTACGTGCACCAATTGTCTTAAAAACAAAAATCAACTTGTTCATTTTTGTGGCATGACACGATAATCACAAAAAAAACATGAGAAATAGGGCTAAGTTGAAAGAGGAACTTATACACTTGATAAACCAGTCGTTATATGCGTTGCAATGCTGATCCAGTCGTTGAGCCTACGTCTTTGCTCATTGACAGTGGTCGCGAGAGTGGAGAGAAGGCAAACGATATATGAGGTTTGGATAAACTATTAACGTTAGAGAAGCAGAAGAGAGACAAGCAGAGGAGCACGCTTTGTCGATCAAAGTGCAGAGACGTGAAAGAGGTTCTTGTGGGCTACGGTTTGTGGTGTCAAACTACAATGGGGCCACTGAGATGCATAAGGCCCGTTTAAGTGAAGACAGCATCATGTGTTCATTAAAATATTGACATTGAGACGTGTATGCCGTAAGATATTACTAGTGCACAGAATTTTAAGATCGCCAAGTCCATGGTACTAACCCAGTCCGTGATTATAAAAAAAGGAAGCCGGATACGAGTTATAGAAGATATAAGGGCATCCACATTGAGACAGTACGCGCAAACAGACTTGTTTACCAAGCAGTTTTTTTTTAAAATGATGCTCTTGTACTTAATCAAAGTTTCTTCAGCAAATCGATACAGAGAGCAGTCACATACAATCTGCTGACTTCGAAAAAATCTGCGAAATCTTCTCAAAGTGTTGTAATTACTAGATGGTGAGGGTAAGTAAAGTCGTAGTCAGTTAACATGGACATTTTGTCCAGTGCTTAAAACCATGTTTTTCTATGCTTC